GGGAACTAGGATTGCCTTGAGAGTTATTTAGAAATACATGGTATACCAGATATCAGCTGTCTCCTTGCAGAGAGGAAAGTTCCCAAATAAGTAGGTCTTGATTATAAATGGATTAGGAGTTTCAAGTCATTGTTAGGAAAAATGGATCAGCTAGAGGAATGTTGTTCAGAGCAATGAGAAGCACAGAGCAAATGAGAAGCAAGGGTGCTGGCCCAGACAGTGGCCATTCAGTGGTGAACAAAGGACTGGGTGCCTTAGCATGGGCTTTGCACATCTCAGTCCTATGGGCATCTGAATCTAAATTCATTAATTGCCAGATTTCCCCCGTCTGATCCTATGCTCACCAAGCAGCTATCTGGTTTGGTTTTGGCATCCTAGGTATGTCTGTCCACAGTCGGAAATGTGCTGGCTGTGCCCGATCTGATCGGCACAGGTGTTATGGTATTTGGAGCAAATTAATTAATGAGCAGTCTGATTTATACAATGTCTCTGAGGTTAATTGGCCAGCCTACTCATTCTTGGGTGGTGACCAAACCAGGTTCTTGTGTCTATGAGGCTGAGAGGCAGATTCTGGGCTGCAAAGCTCATGAAGGTGAGGAAGGCAAGCATCAGAGGACCCTGGGCAGCCCAGGAATCTGGCCCTTCCTTAATACCTGGGTTCACATTTATTTGTATTTTTACAAAATATTTTATAAATCATTATGCTTGCTTTCTTTTGCAGTGATTCTGAGTCTTCTTGTTATTATTATGTTTATTTTATTCATTTGGCTTTAGATGAGCTTGATGAATAAGTTATTTCACATGCTTTTTTTTTTTTTAAAAGGCAAGTACCTTTAAAAATAAACAGACATACCTATATAAGAAAAGCCTAAATCATCAAGCCCATTGGTGAGGATGGAGGGAGAGGATTATATGGTCCCTTGCTGTGATCAGGGTCCTAAAAGAATAAATTACAGGGAAGTTATGGTGGAAAGAAACAGGAAAAAATAGGAAAGACAGTTCCAAACACTCTCTCTAAATTTTTTGCCAAAGGAAGACCCATTTATCCTGCATCTACTCATTCATCTACCCATCATCCATTTATTCATACCAACCCATACCTACTAAGAATCAGTCATGTGCCAAACACTGCTAAGCCTGAGAGCACAGGTGGAATGTGGTCACGCTATTGGCAAGGCACAAGGCCCTCCAGCTCTCTTCTCACTAAGTGCCTGGTGCCATGTGCCATGCTCAGACATATTCATCACACAATGGCACAAAGGGTGCTTCTCTCAAACCCCTGTGGCTCCTTAGCCTTTTCCTGCACCTCCTCTCTGCAGGGGAGTCAAGGAGACTCTAACAAGCAGCAGAATGAACTTCTAATTGAAGTTCTGAGCTTGGTGGGAGAAGCATTTGAGGTTCAGGATCTCAGGATTCCTATAGAATCATTTCACAGCCCCAGCTCACCCATGTGTGTGGCTAGTTTCAATAATGCAGCTGGACATCTTCCCAAGGACCTCAGGGCAGCCAGAGTCTGAGAGGTCTGCACTGTTTTCTCTGCGCTGCAGTAACTGTGCATTCTTGTCCCTTGTCACCACATCTGTGGCCCTTGCTGTACTATGTCTTCTTCAGACCCTGTAATCATCTCATCACTTGAATTTACCAGAGCTCTGTGCAATATAATTTCATCGGAGATGGTCTCAGAGAAATGGAACCTCTTGGCCATCTGAGAATTCAGGAAGCCTTATGAGTGAGTGTCTTGTCTTCATGCCTCTTGGTTGATGTGCACGCTCTGACTTGGCTCTTACTTGGTGGCCACAACTGGCTGTCAAATGGTCAGTTAGAATGCAGATGAAGAGTAGGTGTTTTCAGTCGTTCCTACCAATTTGCTCTGTGAAAATAGTCTTAGTACCGAGTAAATCATTTCTACACAATTCAATTCATCCTTTCTTCATAAAGTACTCATCCATTCATTCATTCATCATCATCTATTCCTAATTATTCATTCATTCCTTTACCCATTTATTGAATCCTATCGAACACCTTTTCTAGCCACCTACAAGCTGGTGGAATTTTCAGGTTTTCAGTCTTGCTATTATTTTTTTCAAGAGCATACACTCTAGTTTTGCTCTTTTAAAAGATGCTTTGAAAAGTAAGTCATGATGTTCCTAGAGCAGCTTCTGCATAGGTAATTATTGGATGGTGTTATGAACTGAATTGTGCTCCCCGCCACACAAAATTTATTTGTTTAAGTCCTAACCCTCAATGTGACTGCATTTGGAGGTAGGGTCTATAAGGAGATACTTAAGGTTAAATAATGTGATAAGGGAAGAGTCCTAATCCAACAGGATTTGTGTCCTCTTAAGAAGAGGAAGAGAAACCAGGAGTGTGTTCATGGACAGAGGAAAGGCCATGGGAGGGGGCAGCTAGAAGGTGGCTGTCTGCAAGCCAAGGAGAGAGGCCTCAGGACAAACTAAACCTGCCAACACCTTGATCTTGGACTTCCAGCCTTCAAAGTCATGAGAAAATAAGTTTCTGTAGTTTAAGCCACCCAGTCTGTGGTATTTTGTTATGGCAGCCCAAGTAGACCGATACAGATAGTAAGAATGGCTAACATAACATGGTCCTAAGTAATAAGAAACTTACAATGTTAAATAATCTATGTTATATAACATATTATTAGTATTATGTCTACGCAATTAGTGTCTTATAGAAATGTAGAATTTAAACTATCTTTTTTGTAAGTTTTCTCATTTTGAAACTCTTGCTAACATCGTAAAGCAGAAAAAGCTATCATTACAATCCCCGTTTTGCATAGGAGGGAAGTGAGGCTTAATAGGGACAAGTGACTTGCTCAGGTCATCCAAGAGGAAAGAGAAGAAACTAGAAATGGAACTCTTTATACCACAAAGGACTGCCGTACCTACAGTAATAGGAAAACATATGCCATGCAAGCAAAAATGTTTGTTATAGCATCAGATTAACAGAATATCAAGTTTAACTGTAGGCATTTCTCATCCTGAACCCCCGCCTCTTCCAATTTAAGTCTACTCAATATAAAACTTGTATTCAAACACAAGGTAAATTCCAAGGTTATTTCAACATTGTAAGCAGAACTATCACTTTATTTTATAGGTTGCTTAAACAGTAAACTCCTCGGTCCATTTAAAATTTGATTCTCTCTTGGGAAAATTGATTCACACACATTTTCTATAAACACCTCCATTGTATAAAAAGATATAAATGCACTCAAAATGAGCAAATGATGCAGAAGAGATACAGATGATATTGATGAGGACAGTAATAGCACGTGGCCTCCCTTGATGGTTTGTGAAGGCTGGAACCTGTGACCTAAGCATCCTTGGATTCTGACCTCAGTTACTCACCTGTATTACGATTGAAATGTGGGAGAGAGATCTGCTTTACAAATAGTGGTGGATGTCTCTGATAAACATGTATAATTTCATCTGTTCCTCCCTTCCTCTAGAAATACGGCACTTCTCCTCCCATCTCCCTCAGTAGTTCAAATGTGAGCTGCTATTTCCTAATAGATCACACCCCCTGAACAAGCTGGGCCAATTCTAGAACCTTGCCCTGCTGACATCAGTTGGTCATTACTGTAATGTGGGCCTTTTTAAAAAAATATTTACACAATCAAAGCACTTCCTCAGCATTTTTGAACTTGGGTTCCAAAAGAAACTCTCCGACAATGTGATAGGAGGCATTGGAGGTGTATGTAACTATGTCCTTCATGCAAAAGAAGCCAGTCCATGGTAGGAGAGGATGGAGCTGACTCAGACAGAAGTGCAGATGAGAGGGGAAGGTGGTAGAATCATAATTCCTGATTCCAAGTGTCTCTGAGGCCCAGAACATCCATGTCCTTCCAGCATCCAGTTGAGCTAATAAGGTTTTGGGGTTTTTGTTTTGTTTTGTTTTGTTTGTTTGTTTGGGTTTTTTTTTTTTTTTTTTTTTTTTTTTTTTGGTGTGTGCCTACCCTAGCTCAGATTGAATTTGTTAATGGTGAACAAATTCAGTGAGATTCTGGGGATTTATAGCCAATAATCCCTTGGAAAGATGGTGGCAGAACAGTCTAGATGCGTGCAGTAAATGCTTAGCTGGGAGAAGTCACTACTTGGAAAATGAAGAAAATGTAGGGAAGTGGCAAAAAAGAAACACCCTGTCTTAGTTTTGCCAAGGATAAACTTTGCCTCAGAGCAGGAAGCTCCTCTGACACAGAAAAAAGTTTTAGCCATTGTCAAACGCATTTTGTCCTACCCTAGCAAATATTGGATGCTTTGATTTGATTTTTATTTCTTCTCTTCTTGGGCCTTACTGAGGCCTTTGAAAGACACAAGTCCATGCCCACAGACCAGGATCCCCGGGAGCAAGGGATTTGAGTTTTTTGTTCTCATCCCAGTGCAAAATAGGAGGACTTGGCCTTTTCCCCAGCCCCCCATCACCCCCAAGATCTCAGCCCTCATAAGACCCTTGGACCACAGAATGCGGGACTAAAAAATATCGGTTGAGCTTGTTCAAACAAAGTCTCCATTTCCCGACAAGCAATTGGAACTTGGGGTTGCATGTTGAGGTAGACTTCAGACTCTTTTAATGGCATTCAGAGACATGGTTCTCCAACCAATTGGCATTCAGGAAATGTTTATCAGTTCTGACAGCCACAAGTTCCACCCTGGCCAATTTTAGCTCCTATGACTGGAAGTGACTTGGATGTTTGAAATTCTGTAAAACACAGGCTAGTTTTGAAATGGAGCCACAGAGCTACAACGGTATTCTCGCTTAGCTCTTAGGCAATTTAGGTCAAAATTCCCCCCACCTCTCTCTCTCTCTCCTCGCTTCTGAACAGTGGAAAGCTTCCTTGAAAGGTCTGGCAATAAATTTTCAATAAATCTGCTGGGTGGCGGGAAATGAGAGAAGAATTTTTTAAATGATTTATGAACCTGAGTGAAATGATATTTTCATTGCTGTCCACTTTCCATAATTTTTCTCTTTTAAATTCCCTTTAGTGTCTTTTCAAGGAAATAGAAGAAAGGATCCAGCATCCTTTGGGGGTTGCCTTCAAGATAGTGAACACAGGACCGGATATATGCACACGTTTGCTCATGTGTGTGAGCAACTTCACTTGGGAGCACCTGATAATTCAGTTTATAAGGTAGCAATAGAAAAGAAGATATTTGACATAAGTACATTTTTTTCCACATTTTTCCTTGTTTAAAGACTTTCATAAAAAACATTTTTGCAAATTTGTTCAAATGAAGGGAAGTAACTTTCTTCAATTCATTCATTCATTCATGTGCTTGTTCATTCACACATCTTCCATTATCTTGTATTCGGACTTAGCTATACCTTTGTAATGTACCGACAAGGACACTAAGGTCACAGTCCACACTCTGGCCTTATGTTTTAACCTGCCCTGCAGGTATGCAAGGGGCGGGCTGCTATTAATTATGTGTATGTGCGTGCATGTGTGTAGCACATGCACTGAGCATGCACCTTGGGTTTGTACTGTTCGCTTTCCAAGCATTGTTTCTTATAATCTTCTCAAAAATCCTTGAAACAAGTATTATAACACTCATTCGAGACAAGATATAACCAATCTCAGAGAAGTTAAGTAACTGGCCTGAGTTTGGGCGAGTGTGTAGCCTCTTCTAATCCACCTGGCCTCTCTTAGAAGAGGTTTTATCTCCTCTTCTGTCATGTGAATGGCCTCTCTCCTTCCTTCCAGCTACAGGACTCGAGGACAATGACCTTCCTAACTAGCTTAGAAAATGTCAGATTTATCCCATGAATTAGAGTTGTTGAGTAAATATCAACAGATCCAATAGCTGCCAGAAGAATGATCCTCATGAAGTCCAGATCCTGGATTTAGACTACAAAAAAATGGAATGTAAACCCACATGTGGAAATTCAAACAATATGATTTACCAACAAGCACTGATAATACTGCTGAGAATGTGGTTACTGTAAAGAAACTAAAAGTGACTTAGAGTGACTGAAATCAAGAACAGGCAGTGAGAGAAGTACTAATTAGCATTTATCAGAATGTTTTTCTGCTCAGAGCATTAGTGCCACTTGGATCTTTGGGTTTCATATCACAAGTACCTTTTACACACACTCGTGCACACACATCTGAGGTTATATTTTGTATTTAAGACTAGTCACGAGCAGTAGTGAGGAGGGGGGAAAGTAAGAGATTACATTTTTAATAAATCCTCATTTTATATTTCATCTTTTTTTTATTCCATGATTACTTTAAAATGCTCGATTATCATAGGTAGCTGGATTCTTTCCTCCCTTTATTAATGTTTTCCCTTATTTTCTTCTCTTTATTTTTCTTGCTTCTCTTTTTTTCTCTCTTTCTTTTGCCCTAATTTTTCTATGACTCTTGTTTCTTCTCTCACCTTGAGTTTTTCCTCTTCATCCTTACTTCCCTTTCTTCCTATTTTCTAAACATCCTTCCCATTCCTTGTCTACAAAGCACTCACTGAGAATGAATGGAGTGAGCTCAGGACTGCCCACGGGACGCCCACTGCATGGAGCTGGCCTGGGATTGAGAAATGGCCCAGGAGGTCCAAGGGGCTGGGTGCTCCTGTACTTATCACAGAAACCTTGTCCTACAAGCGAATCCTCTGGCTAGTGGCCTTTTTGGCTCTGGGACATCTTGGGGGAAGAAAGAAGTGTTATCTTTATAGGTCTGTTTCTCTGAATTGAAAGCCAGTTGTGAACATTATTGGAAACTTTGAAGATGAGATGCCTGAGGCAAGTTAACTGGAAAAATGTGTAGGCCCCACTAGAAATGATATTCACAGCTCCTCTGAAAGAGTTAGTGGACAGCTGCTGAGAGAAGTTTCATGGCAAGTCCCAGGAGATCAGGGAAACAAGTTGTCATATCTTCTCTCTCTCTCTCTCTCTCTCTCTCTCTCTCATACACACACACACACACACACACACACACACACACACACACAGGACATCCTCCACATTTATGCAGCTGTGAGCCAGTTTCTGAGCCTTGGTTGGCATAATCACCTCTCTTCCCTAAAACTACTGAACTCTAACTCTGGATTCTTTGGTGTCTTCAGGTCAGTTTCATGAGTGGGATGGTGTTAGGAATGAGATTTATTAATACTTGCTCTGATGTTATCAAACCATATGTGCATGCAGACAGAAACCGTGTGTGGTCTTCCAACAATGAAGTCAGAGTGGTCAAAGAAAACCTCTTGTTCTCTCTCATTATACCTCTCTAGATGCCTCTTTTATATTGTAGGCATTGTTCTCCTCCAGTGCGCTACTCTGAAGCAAACCATTGCTACAACCAGGTCATATATGAAAAAGATAAACATATATCTACCATGTAATTTCAACATTCCATTTGTCAAACACACTCCAGTAGATTTGAACTCATTAAGTCTGGGGTAGAGGCTAGCATCCACACTTTGAAAAATCTCAGTGGGTGCTTCTATTACAGATACCTGGTTATGAGCCATTATCCATAACCTAAATCCTTTATCACAGCACCTTGCACATAGTAGGAGTTCAATAAATGTGTGCAGAAAAGGAATCAAAGCCTGCTCTATACAGTCAAGAAACCTATGATTATATTCAAGACTTTCAACTAAATTCTGTTTCTGCCAGCAACTAGCCAGCAACCTCAAAACAATGGCTTAACCTTTTAGGACTTCAGTTATCTTTCTATAAACAGAAGGTAGGGAAGGCAGGTGGGCCAGATGATTTCTTAACTTTCTTCAGCTCCATCACTCTAGGAAGGAGTGTTTGTGAGTCTGTATATAGAAAATTACAACTCTGGGTTGAAATCAGGTTGAGAAAACCTCATAATTCAGTCACAGACATTAGAAAGGAACCTTAGAGAGATTTTCCACTGTGCTGAAGGAACCCAAACTACCCTCCCTATCAGAAAAGGACTATTCCCTTGCACATGCATTCTCATTCACAACATGGGGAGTGTATTAGTTTACCAGGATTGCCATAACAACGACAAATCCCACATACTGTATAGCTTAAATGACAGATATTTAAGCCACCAATTCTGGAGGCTAAAAGTCTAAGATCAGGGTGTAGGTAGGGTTGTTTCTTCTCCCCTTCACTCATAGGTGGTTGTCTCAGTGTGTTAAGATGAGCTTCCCTCTGTACATATGTATCTGTGTCCTAATTTCCTCTTCTCATAAGGACAACCGCCATATTGGATTAGAGCCCATTGTAATGACCTCATTTGAACTTAATTCGTTTTTTAAAGATCCTATCTACAAATACAGTCACATTTTGAAGTACTGGGGGTAAGGCTTACACATATGAATTTTGGGGGCACACAATTTAGCCCATAAAATGTGGTGAATAGAGTATATATGCAAATAGCAGCCACCAGTTAACCACTATGGCAGAGTTTCTCCTGGTCTGGAATCTGCAGAAACAGAGAAGCATTAGTTTATAGAACATTAAAATCATGGTGGAGGAAACATGTATGTCTTGAGTCTTTTGCTGTAATGCATGATCTTGCCTTGGAAAGCTCTGTTACTGACAAAAGCTATTTCTGCCATAGAAAGCCCTTGGTCCCCACTGTTACCAGCACTGAGAATTATACCAAGGGTGTGCTGAGTCTCATGCCAAGTTCTGGGTTGGATAGACACTTTCACCTGCACATCTATTAATATATTAGTACCATAGACTTATTCATGAAAAAGCCCAGGAATCAATTCTCTCATAGGAGAAGATTTGAAATCCACTTTTACCTAAGATTGGGATAGTAGAAAGATGAGGATGAGACCATAGAATTCTGAAAGCACACAGAGATCTTAGGAATTTTCTATATCTGTGTTTCCTAGACTTTTTGTATTTTGCCACCAACAACTTTTTAAGAGGGCTATCTCTTAGGGTTTCCAGTTTTTGCTTTGCTAAATATAGACATTAAAAGACATAAAGAATATATTAACAACAAAAAGCTTGAAAGCTATAATCCAAACCAAAAAGAGTCATTTACATTAAATAGCTGGCTTTATTAACAAACAAACAAAAGCAAAAAAGACAAAAACTAAACTCTCTTCACTTAAACACCTGGGCTCATTCAGACAAGAAGAACTTACATGTGGGTCAGGAGCCGTCTCCTGACTTGTGCTGAAAATCCTCGGTGTTCTAGATCAATGCAGTGCAAACTTGAGAAATTTCAGATTTTCCACAAACTCAATTTGAGAGACATTAAAATCAAAGTTAAATGCTTTCACTTCAGATTTTACCTTGGTGCCAACATACTCATAAGCAATGCTGACGTGGAATTTTCTTTACAGATGAGAGAGCTCAATGGAGAAAGGTCAAAGGAGTTAAAAAGTGTTAATGGGTTGAAATAGAATGAAAATCTCAAAAGATGCCTGTTTTCTCCCATTGTATATTTAAATACCAGATTTGAACATCCCTACAGATCAGCTAATATAAGGAGAGCGATTCAAAGAGGACAGGAGTTGGGATGGTCAGGAAATAAATCAATGGCTGATGAAATTTTAAAAAGGCTGAGTCCTTTCACCCTGCAGTCTCTCCCAACTTTAGTTCCTAAGTCCTTTGTTGACCCCAGTTTCTCAAACCTGTGGGTAAGAATCACCCAGAGGACGTGTTAAAACCAGATTGGGGGGCCGTAGTACATCCAGAGTTCCTGATTCCGCAGGTCAGTGTGAGACCCACTAATTTGCATTGCTCATGCATTCCCAGGTGATGCTGTTGCTGCTGGCTGGAGGGCCACACTCTGAGAACCTTTGCTCCAACAGTCTGCTAAGTGGAGCATCCAGGCAGCTCAGAGTTGAGAGGCAGGAAAGAGAAAGTGTAGAGATGGACGACACAATAGCAGGAAGACAGAATACAGACTGAGAGAACTTGCTCTCTCTCGGTCAGAATATTACAGCAATATTACAACAATATTACAGCAAGTTCTCTCGGTCAGAATACAGACCGAGAGAACTTGCTCTTGGTCTGTAACTTGCTCTCGGTCTGAAAGAGAAAGTGTAGAGATGGACGACACAATAGCAGGAAGACAGAATACAGACCGAGAGAACTTGCTCGAAGACAGTGCAGAGACATCATGGATTTGGGGAAATGAGCAGATTACTTTTACACAATACTTCTTAAAATAGTTGCTAGATAGTTGCATTA